AAAAAAAAAAAAAAAAAATCAGTCTTCTTCATTCCTCACCTCTTCCCGGCAGACCTTACCTGAAGAAGCTCGGGCGGACCCAGCACTGGCGGCCGTGGGGGCTGGCCAGGTACTGGGTCTGTCCCTGATTAGGAGACTGTATGTATGAATGGAGAATTGTATACTTTTGTGTTTTTTGTTTGGATACTACAAAATCTTGCCAAATACATTTTTGTGATCAACCAAATTTCTCATGGAGAATGGAGGTAGTGAGCATCTTTGATGTGGAGCATCACATGAACACTATGGCGAGCCTATGTCATAAGGGACGGTTCGAGGAAAGGCCCAAAAAAAGTGCTTGAGTTATAGGGTTTGATTGTGTCTCTTTTATTAGATATAGCTTTTTGAAAAAGTGGTTGAATTTCCCTACATCAATCTTCTTCACTTGAGGTTTTTGTTAATTTGTCTTGTGGTATAAAAAAGCGGTAGTGAGGCTCGCCTTGAAACCTGCTTCACTGTGAGGCGCATGTAGTATGTCTCAAGGCGGTATTTTTGAGGCTAAAAATATGAGGCTCACGCCTCAAGGTAAGCGTCTCATTTAAAATTTGATCTTCCAATTGTATGAAAAGAAATCAGAAATGACCTTCTTAAAAAAGAAAAAAGCACATTTAAAAAGGCATTTTGGGCCCCAAACAAAACAATAAAATACCTAAAAAAACTAAACGGTAGCAAAAAATTAGAGGACCAAAAAGAGAACAGATTCAACAGAAATTCAAAAGTCAGAATTCAAGAAGAGTATCGTTTTCTTCATCAGATATGTTTTTCCTCTTTTCTTTTTCTTTTTCTTCTTAGAGTTCAGTAAATCTTGCATGCAATTAGCTTTTTTTTAGTTTAAGCTACTTCCATTTTTTCATTGCAAATTGAGTGATTTCTAACTTTCGTAATGCTTTTTATTTTGCTAAACATCTTCTTTCTTTAGGTGAACCATATCTCAATATGCTAAGAACTATATATCTTATTTAATGTATGCTCCAACTTTGATTTTTTTGTATTATTTTATAATTCTTTTACTTAAATTTTTTTTTTTTGTGAGGCTTACGCCTCAATCCGTCTCGAGGCTTACGCCAAGCCTCATAAAGAAAAACCGCCTCACTACTTAGTTTCGCCTTTTTAAACCTTGGTCTTGTCTACATCAGCTCGCACGAAACGTAGTGTCTTGGGTTCTACATTAACATAGTGATACCTTCCATGCAATGTGAAAACATCTGAGGCGTGATCTGAATATAATTGTTCGTAATATATTACCAAATAATACTCTCATTTGCATCAGAGTGGCTGACATGCATAACATTACTTTCTGGATATGTAAAATTAGATTTCAGAAAGTGCCTTATGCTGTCAACCCATGTAAACCCCAATTACGACATCCCTTCTCTCCCACTTACACCTCGGAACGCACCGTTCTTATAAAGATAAACGCGCTGTCACATCTTAACCCGAAATGAAATGGCTGGGGAGGGGAGGGGAGAGGAAAGGTTCCTCTTTTTGAGGGAAAAGAAAGGATCGGGGTTTTGACATTTTCTAAAGGAATAGCCTAAATCATCACTAGTGTTTAACCTTTACAAATATGTTTCCAAGCTGGGTTTTCTCATCCTGTACGGCCAAGGCCTCTAATTTTTATAACATCCTCTCTTTTATTCCTTGCACAGCATTTACAGTATATATGATTTGTTATCACCACCCATTTTTCTGTAGATTTTCTAATCCAGTTGCCTTTTAAAACATATAAGTTAGCCAAACATAATAAACATTTTCCACTGATTCTACAAAGTAGCAAGAATCATCTGCCATACATCTCTAGCAATTTCAAAGTCAGCAGTGTATTTAGTTATCTTCCTTGAACCACTGTAATTAAGACTGGGATGTTCTCTTTAATCTAAATAGGTTTTTAGCAGATAAGTGTTGTCACAAGTCTGCTGAAAGCGTTAGTTCCTTTTTTTCTCATTTTTCTTTGTTCTATTTCTCCCGTTTCTACTGTTGATAGAGTAATTTGGGAGTGAAGGGCATCTATATTTGCGGAGCTTCCCGAGTGACAATGCTTGTTAACAAAACGTTACTTCTCAGAATTTTACTTCATGAGCTGTGCGTAATTCTTGCTCCATCTGTACTACATTAAGTGAGAGCATTCTAGAGGAGTGGCATTAATGTAACCCTAATTTTTGAAGTCTCATCATATTTTTGAATTCCAAAAATAACTTCCTCATCCAAATAATTCCAGATAAAGTATTGGCTTCTCAACATAAGGGAAGGACAAATATGCCAGAAAACTGCGCTATCATGCAGCATAACCTGTATCCTCTCAGCTCAACTTCTCGACAGTTTTTAATATTTAAAGTTTTAAATTTTGTGGTTGAGTCACTAAATAATCACCCTTTTTCATTCTCACAACTACAATCCTCAAATCTCCAATAAATGCCAGGTCCGGTCTCCAAGTTCTTCAAACCATTACATTTCAGACTTATCAGTTTCTCTTTTCTCCCAAGTTCTTCAATCCATTACAAGTCTTTTCTCTTTCCTTCTAATTTCCCAACTGCATGAGCATGAAAACATGCAAAAAAGGTGAGATATATTTCGATAATGATTGTTTTTCTCTGGTTGTGTGTTATTTATGTTTATAATGTGAATCACATCGATTCTTCTATATGTTGTTAGGACATTATGCCAACATTCTATTGTGCCTATGCCCCTGATTATTTATCTGCTTCCTCTTTATTTTGTATTTGCATCATATTTGCAATTTTTTCTTTAGTTGCACATGCATCAGTGTGCCCATGTAGCTAGATAAGAAGTCTTGCTCAATTATTTTCTTGCATTTTTTTCAGACACATGGTCACAATAGTTTATATGACCTTACACACTCTTAGGGAGATGCTGCATGATGCTTATTCTAATATATTTTATGCTTGATTTATAATGGCAGTATCATCCTGATGTTAACAAGGAATTAGGAGCTGATGAGGTTTTCAAGAGCGTCCGTCTTGCATATGATGTGAGCAATTCTTATCTTTTCCTTGTGTTATTTATAATTTTTTTACCCGGTTATGTGATGATTGCTACATTCACAAACCAGGTGTCATCTGTAATATTGTGATATTTTGCATTATTTTCTTTTATACTCTTCGAATCGCTAAAAGGACAAAAAAAATTAAAATAAGATGTTGAAACAGATAAATTTGCTGCAATCACAGATGATTGTTAAATCCATCCAAGTGGTGGTTCCTGCTCTTTCTCTCTCACTATAAATGCGTACACGATCAGGGGGAACACTAACCTTCCTTCTTGTTGTTCATCCTCACATATATTCTGAACATAGGTGGTGAGACTTGAGCTTGTTTTGTTTTGTTTCTTCTCTGCCTTGAATGGGTTCCATAGTTGAGGCAAGGGAATGAAGATTCTAGGACTTAATTTGCAAGGGATTTCCCACTATTTTCAAGCGTTACCAAACAAGAGAACGGGAAAGGTTTCCTGGAATTCCCAACCTATTCCAGCGGGAACAAAATTTGGCCTTAGAGGTCTAACTCAACCAGATTCATGACCAGTGTTTTTAGGATCCTCTCAGTGCACAACACCAGTGAAGAAGAGAATGAAGATGAGTTCCATTTGCATCACTCTGTTTTTTTATCTGGAAAAGATGCCAAGTGGAATTCTGTAATGCGGGTGCTGCGGACAAATGGATGTATTGGGAATTCCTTGAGTGCAGCAGTGGCTTGGGTGTGCTGCGGTGTAATATTAGATTTGGAGAATGACTGAATCTCCAAATAAAGTGCAAACTTAAAAAACAAGAAAATGGGCGTCTTTGTCTATTTAACAGTTGGGAGAAGATTGTTCTTTCAATGGAGGTGTGTAGGCTAGCTTCCCCCATAATATCAAGAGATTTAAGAATTTATAATAAATTTGTAGTTATTCCTTCTCAAAATATATGGAAGTAATCTTCCACGTGATGATGCAATATAGCCTCAGTTCATTGGCAGATTATTTGAGAAAAGCACGGCTAGAAAATTTCTGAATACTGTTAATTTATTGTTTTATTTCTTCTTTAGCCCGGCTTGACAACCATTATTTGGAGAAAATAGAGTTTTGAATAGTGATTTTAGGAGAATGTGGGGTTAAAAAGTAGATAAAAAGTTTCGGGTCTAGAATATTTTATTGTGTAAGCCCCTGTTTGGCCCCCATTAAATTAAATTAAATTACATTACATTAAATTTTTTTTTCTTTTCATTACAACCACACATTCATCAAATAAAATAATATTACACACAAATCTAAAATTTTTCACTACTTTTCTACCACACATTTTCTCATCAATCACTATTCCAAAAATTTTCAACCATAAAAAATGCACAATAATGGGGGCCAAACATGGGCTAAAGATATAAATAAATAGGTCTTCAACTCATTATATTTTCCTGAAATCTTACTAAAGAATATTGCAAACTCTCTTGGGAAAATGCACCTCCCAGCTTGAGGTGGCGCACACTTTGGGCTGCAAGTGCCCTACAAGCTAAGTTGTTCACCTTGTAAACGAGAGAGACTAATTTTAAGAGTTCATAGCATATTTATTTCACTTAAGGAGCATCCAACCCGGATCACAAGTCGTCTTCATATACTGTGAACAGAACAAGCAGCGAAATCGACCCTGCAACAGAATAATAACTTAATATATCATAAAGTCATGCCATCCATAATTCTCATCGCAGGAAAATGATGCGGAGATTGATGAAGCCTATAACTACTTTCATTAGTGATCGTTTGATTTCTCGTAAGTGTACGGGATCGTGAACAAGTAATAAAGTAGTGAATAGAGTGTCGAATCCACGAGAACTACGTATTCAATCAAGTTCAAATTAATAGTAACTTTAATCGAATAGCAAATAGATTTTGAGTTTTCTATACTAATTCCTAAATTATTGATTAAACTAGAAAGCAATTTAATTGGTTTGAATTCAAACATGTGAGATGCATTGCTAAGATGTCGAATCCCCCCTGTTATTCCATTTTTAATGTAACAATTAAAGTGATAATTTGAAATTATTTATGTTGGTCAATATTCTTAATTTTATTGAAGGTCTCTCTCGATAGCGATCAAATATATTCCCTTCATGTGACCCTTCTATCTCTCGATGAAATATGCAAACATGATAAATGCATTAATGAGTACTAGAACACCTATTGAAACCATATAAAGCATAGAGATATATCTATCCTCTATCGAACTTTACAATATTTATTATAATGTGCTTCAATTTTATTGTTATCGAACAATTTTATTGTCTCTCTCGATAACAATAAAATTTATTAACAATTCAATTGGTGATCAAGCAATTGAAAAGAACGATAAAAGCGATAATAAACATCCACATATCAAATCAAATTAAAGTCAAAATAATTAATCAAAAACTTAAAATATCATAACAAGGGTTCATCTCATCCTGACAATGTATAAAATTAGTCTAACATATTGAAATTACAATAAATCATATTTAAGTGAAAAGACAACCCGAATTTTGATAAATTGAGAAGATGAATCTTGAAATCTTGAATCTCTTCAATGGTTTCTTGATGAGTCTCCACTTGCGCATTCTCTTCTTTACCAAAAAATTAGGTTTGAATCTTCACGTGATTGAATTCTTGCAAATCTTCTTCAATTCTCTCACAAAAACTATGAATTCTCCACCTTTGATGATAATAATTGATGAATAATGGAGTATAATATGTACATGAGAGCTCTCCATATGTATTCTGCTATTCTGTATTTATAGGAGTCGAAAATTGGAGGATACCCGATAATATTTTCCACCCTAAATTTTATTTATTTTTATTTGATTAAAGTTGATTTAAGTTTTGCAAATTGAATTCAGACATGTTCCATCAGACTGCTGTTGTGTCCAAGGTGATTTTATTGTAGATTGTATTTGAATGAGATTTAGAATAGCTTCAGTTTATGTTCTTTTTATATGATAGAACATTCACAAGTCAAAATATATTGCCAAAATTTTGTATGGTGAAGCTTCAACTATTAAGTTTGTGATTATGCAGTTTATCTTGGAATTTTGCTAATTTCTGTAAACTTTTGTGGAAGAAAAATGAGGAAAGGAGTTTCACATGCTATATGTTGGTGGACTTTTTAATTATTTCCATTTCTGATGATGTGAACCATGACATGGTTTTACGTTTCTTTAAACTCCACTGAAAATCCCAAATAACTTTTGGTACCATCAAAGATTGCATTGTTTATGATCTCTCTCACATTGTTAACCTGGCTGTCGCTTTTTCCCCCTGTTACGTGTTTATCCAATAGACCAGCTATAAATTTGTGATATTAACGGGAAATCAAAACTGTATCTTGTGCAGATACTGATTGATGAAAAAAAAAGAAATCAATATGATTGGACGCTTCAACATCAAGAAAATGCTGGCGGGTCATCAGAGGATAATTGGGCCTTTAACCCTGAACATGAAGATGGACAAAGGATCTATAGGTGGGCTTACTTGAGGCGGAAAATGCAGCGTGAGAAATATTGGGAACAATACCACACAGATGATGATGAAGTGTACGAGGAATCTGAAGAAGAAAACACAGCTGAGGAGAGAGGGTCCTTTGTTGAGGTGCTTAGATCAGCTTTCCTCTCCATGTTTCTGATGCAGACAGTAGGTACCCACTTGTCTCTCACGTTTAGTAGCCTTATGGCTTTGCTTGACCGGAATTTGGACACTGGGTACAAGGTGGGTTATGTATTTGCATGGCTATTGGGAGGAAGAGGTGGCATTTTGCTTACAGTGTTCCTATCATTTGCAAGTTGGGTTTGTGGCAAAACGAGCAGCAGCATCGTTGCTGTTGTAGTTGTTGCCATGTGGTTTGGTTCAAATCTAGCAAGGTATGCTCCACTTCCACAAGGTGCTCTTCTTACTCTTTTGTACATGTCAATCAAGCTACAAGTTGATCTAAATTAAAGCCGACTGCTGTGCTTATATATATATATATATGTTTTTATTCATTTCTTTGTGTAAATAAGATCGCAAAAGAAGAGGTAAAAACATAAGTTGGATTGAAAAACGCCCTTGTGATGATGTAAAAATTGTGAATGCGATAATTACTGAAGGTATGGAATTATTCATGTTTATATATTCATTGATTGAAGGTAAGGCAAGGATTCTAGGAGTGGGGGAAAGATGAATGAATTCACATTTACTGTTGTATCATAAAAAATTTACATGTACTATGATCTCGAAAAAATGTCAAGAAGAATGCCTTTGAATACAGGATTTTAGTGCATTTTTGCTTCCCCTTCATTCTTCAATTGTCTGATGTTCTTCCACAGGTAGCGCCCACTCGCCATGTCAATGAACACCCAGAAGCCATTCTGAATAATCTAAAAAATTTAAGAATTGCAAAAAGTTAGAAGAAATACGAAAAACCTCAGACATTGAATCTGGCAATTTCTTCTTTCTTCTCACCTTAACAAAACCCAATTCATGTTTCCCTTGAGTAGATGTAGAACTATTTTCTTGAGTTGAATCCTCTGATTCAGAAGGAAGGGAGCTCACCGTCCTCCAAGCCAAATACCCGGCCAACGCAGCCGAGAAAAACACCAAGATGAACCTCAGAGGACACATTTCTGAAAGTTTAGATGTCAACGGTTGTTAATGGATTCTTTCGTTCCGGAAATTGACTTTGTCGGGGATGGATGATCATATGTATATATATACACATAGAAAACGCGTTTGTCATTCCAGTTGGCTTATGACTTCTTCATCACCTTTTGTTTACCAGTCAAAGGAATCTATTAGTATGAAAGAAAAGGTTGCGCGGTGGTTACTTTTCAAAACCAACTGCTACATTAATCCACTTTGTAGAGGTTAATTTATTTTATTTCACTAACTCTCATCGAATTATAACTTTAATTTACTTTCAACTAATCAAAATTTCAAGTTTCAGTCCCAAAATTGGAGTTAATATCTTAAATAGTCACTGAATTTTGCCAAAAGTTCTCAGGAGGTTAACGAACTTCAAAAATACCCTCAATAGTCACTGAACTTTGTAAAAAGTTCCTAGAGGGTCACCGAACTTCAAAACTTCCCTAAATAGTCATTGAACTTTGTCAAAATTTCTCAGGAGGTTATCGAACTTTGTAAATTGCGAGCTCATGCATCAATGATTCAGTGACTCCTTAGGAATTTTTTGCAAAGTTGAGTGATTATCTAGATAAGTTTTGAAGTTCGATGACTCTCTAGGAATTTTTTGCAAAGTTCAGTGACTATTTAGGGTATTTTTGAAGTTAGGTGACCTCCTGGGAACTTTTGACAAAGTTTAGTGACTATTTAGGGTATTAACCCCCGAAAATTGACTCTAAATTTTGAAACCTAGAGAATTAATTTCCATCTTATAACCCATACAAGTTAAAGCTTTTCATCATTTCTCCGATCCTTCATTTTCTTTAACTACATTTTAGTCTCACTTTTTTGTTATGTCACCTCTATTTTAGTCTTGTATATACAAGATAATGCGGTAGGTAGGGAGGGAGTGTGAAACTTATTCTCCAGCTTTCGGCTCAAACTTAGTTGAACTAATTGCACGTGCGACCCTTCAAGTATTTGTGCATGTTTTGAAGTCATAAATTCTATCGAATTTGTCACAATTCTTTTGCTAGGGTCCATTTGACATGATTTTTGAGAAGCCAAAAATTCATCATATGGTTAAGAAGTTACAGTTGAATGTATTTAAATAATTTCATGAAAGTGTTTTATCTAATTATAAGAGTTTATAAAGGAAGTTGATATAAAATATTGTTTTTCTAAAAACTCTTCTACAAGAACTAAAACTTTATCAAACTAGCCCATAATCATATAACGCCAATTTCTCCTCTTAACCTCATTATAGGTTATGAAGTTATATAAAGGAAGTTGATATAAAATATATTTTTTTCTAAAAACTCTTCTACAAGAAACTAAAACTTTATCAAACTAGCCCATAATCATATAACTCCAATTTTTCCTCTTAACCTCATTATAGGTTTTGAAATTTGATGTCTTTGAGATTATGTCAATACTGAGTTGCGATTCTCTCTCCGAGGAAATCGAATCCAGCCTGCCCATAAGTAGGTCGTTGCATTTCACTGCCTACAAATGCATTTTGTCGTAGAAGGAATAGTATTTAACATCACTAGTATTAAAACACGTGACACTAATGTGATGTGATTTTAATTAAATAATAATTTAATTCCACATTTCATTGAACATATAACTCAACCGTCACCTAAATTGGTGTTGTTGCATCAATAGTGCTAAATAACATTATTTTTGTTAAATGAGTCGTACCAACCTAACCTGCTATGGGCCTGGGATAGCTTAGCGAGAAGCCTGTCTAAGCCCACCTATAGCTGTGTGCAGTTCTCAACTTCTCATCTCATCTCGCTCCACATGCTGGATCTAGAGCAGGCTGAGCCAAAACAGGCGAGGCGTCATGGGCTTTTTTGTATTCAATAATATACAAATTGTAAACTTTTATAGTGCAAAATATAATCTAATCATATGAAGAAGAAAGATTATTAGAACCTAGTCTTGACATTTCTTTCAGGTATCAAAAATATTAGAACAATGTACCATGTGATATCAAGTTGGAAAATTAAGACCCTGTTTGGGAGGAATTAAATTTTTCTACAGTAAATCAATTCTCATTTTCAACCACACATTCTTCAATAAAATAATATTTTCCATCACATCAATAATTTTTTCTTCTTTTTCAACCACACATTTCCCATCATATCACTATTCAAAATCAATTCTTATGCATATTTACACGGTATTAAGGCCCTGTTTGGGAAGAATTAAATTTTTCTACAGTAAATCAATTCTCATTTTCAACCACACATTTTTCAATAAAATAATATTTTCCATCACATCAATAATTTTTTCTTCTTTTTCAGCCACACATTTTCCATCATATCACTATTCAAAATCAATTCTTCCCCCAAAAATCTCTCCCAAACAAGCTCTAAGTTCGGTTGTGGTCGTGACTCCAATATTATATCTAAAAGAATAAAAAATATTACAAAACAAATATGTAGTGTGGTCTTAATATTTATAATAAATGTAAGTAAATAACTAAATATGCATGAAGTAAACTGAACAAATGAAATGTGACAAAATGACTAGAAATGATGAGAGAAGTGGAAAAATTGGCTCGAAAAATGAATTTCATAGAGCTTTTTTAAGGGTTTTTTTTTTTTTTTGGAAAAAACTAAAATTAAAACAGCTGACCACCACATCCAGAGCAGAACTACTATTATTATAGTAGTTGCACTGCTTTTTCTTGGAAAAAAATTAAAAAGACCTTCGTCCGGTCGAGGATGACAGGTCTCAGGCACCAGTCAGATAGCAGCGGGGCATATCATAACGGGCAAAGGGCCCAAGGCCTTTGAAGTGACCTCTTATGGAATTTCCTTCACATAAATATATGCCATTTTATTTCAAGGGAGTGAATAATCAGGGCGAATAGACATAACTAGCATCAATTATACAGGTTCCCTCAATTTTTGTACGCTCGGCAGACGGCCCTTTTACAACTTGTGTGTTGTTCTTCAGGTCTTCGTACCATTTTACAAAAGTTTAAGAAGTACATTTCACGGGGGCAACAAATAACATGATCTTCCGTAGAATGATAAAGGTTCTTCGCCCAGTCGGGGCTCGATAAATCAGCTTTCAAAAAGTCAACCCATTCACTCCAACAAAAATACATACAAAAGCTTCAGCACACTGTACGACCATAACAAATGGATGCAATGTAGAGATTTTTGGACCATTTATCCTGCAGTAGAATGAAAATAGATAAACAGCAAGCACTAAATTTGAATTTAAATTGAAGTGGGACATGTTGAGAAAATAAATTTTTATTTAAGTATTCATACATATGCTGCACATCACTAAGAAATCCATACTGAATGAGACAGTGAGTGAAAGCAAGTTACCTTTACATGGGTACTTGGGAAAGCAGAAGTACGAAGAGTTTCCTGAGTCTCATCCACTAGTTTTCGCTTTAGTGTACTCAGTATGAAGGCCGCTTGATCATCAGTGGCAGCCATGGAAGTTATTCTATAACCACTTTCCCAGCGGCGATGTATTCCCTCGCTTGGGTACAGAAAATCAAGCTCTACAACCTATAACATCAATGAGTCCAAGGTGATTATGGATATTTGAAATCAACCATATAATCAGGAATGAGGAATTCCACAAAGATTTGCTCATTAAAACCATATAATCTAGTCTTACCTGCTCAGAATATCCAGAATTTCTAGACATTACAACACCCCAGCGACTGCCAGCTGTAGTCATGGATGTGACATGGAAGCCTTCCTTCCACTTTTTATTAATCCACTTGAAAGGAAAGGATTCGCTGACTTTATAGGACTGCTGGGTGTAAGGAGTTCCTGGAGAATTGGTGAATGCACAAATGAAAACCTAAAGAATAGTATAAATATGATTGAGATCGGATGGGTACAGTGATACAGACAATCATATGAACCTTCTTTCCACTTGAAAGGAAAAAACTCAGACATCAAGACAGCTGGTGTAATATGATGGAGATCATCAACCCGATACAATAGATATAATTGATTTACAGGCAGGCGAAAAGATGAAAGTTCTACAGCGCACATATACAGAGAGACTTGTTAGTTGACGAACCTTTAGACATAACCACCAAGGAACTTCCATTAGCTGCACCGGCTATTGAACTGATGTAATAGTTTTTTTCCCACTGTTCCATGATCCAATCCTGATGAGAAACACAGGGTATTAATAGGATACGTGCATCCACCCAGAAATGCCAAACGAAAATAAATTGAAATGTAAATGTACATGTACATGGCAAAAAAACAACCTTATGAAGGAAGACGGCTGAAAGCTCATACACCTGCGAAGTGAAACCTGTTCCAGCATCCATGATTAAGGCCCAAAGACTTGATGCTGAAGCCACACAGCTGATGTATAAACCATCTTGGGTACCCTTTTCTACATGCTGAAAGAGCCTTGAGTCTGCAACATTGTAGTGATATCTACAGATACAACAAACAACATATTTGTCACCCACACCAGGACAAGGTATGCAGTCCAACCTATAAAACTATAGAGCTGGAATATACAATTGTCAGTTGAGCCATTTTCCACGGTTAGGAATACAAATCATTTGTCTGAACCTCAATGATCACACGCGGTATAAATAAAGGAAAGACAACATAAATGAATTAGCTCTAACAAGTTTCCAGAGGACTGTCTTCTTGCTAACAAGTTTCAAATCCAATTTCAGAGAAGATAACTGAAAGTAAAGGCACCAATGAACCCTATAGACTAGCTCTAACAAGTTTCCAGAGGACTGTCTTCTTGCTAACAAGTTCCAAATCCAATTTCAGAGAAGATAACTGAAAGTAAAGGCACCAATAAACCCTATGCACTGAACACACAGAGACAGAAGCATCTCCAACTAAAAGATACACCATTCACAAACATTTACACTCGACAATATATTTTTGGTTAGACGTGTCATACAAAATTATGAACCCAACAAATGGGAAACCTGGTCATAAACTCGGACCCATGCACACCTAGTAACCAAATCCAATGAACAGCTAAAAGCCAACCTAAATTTCAGAAATGGAAATATGTTCTTGCATCCTGAGGAAATAATTGCATTATTTTCTATAATTGGACCAGAAAAGATCTGCTGGTCCTGTCAGCGTCCATAAGAGGATGGCAGAGAACTTGTGATTTTCAGCTGATTATCCAAGAAAGATTTATTTCAGGCGTCACTTCCAAATTTAACCTTTTTTTTTCCCAATATTTTTAGTCAGATTCCTCATTTAGCTTTTCTCTAACAATTAAAATGCACAAGCTAAACATTCATCATCCCAAGAATCTGTGGGAAGATAAATCAGTTTAGGGTTAATTGGGCAGAAATACATGCACAAAACAGGAAAAGAAAAAAGAATTAAGTAAAATATATTTTACTATACGACATCTTGAGTTGGTCTAAAAGGCAGTTTCCAGCATTTCTCACAGAATCTAAGAAAATTTAACACGGCCTGAACATATGCAGCTCATGAGCATGCAAACACATAAAAAACAACGTGAGTGGCTACTTGCCTGCCCACAAATTTAAAACATAGGCACATTCCTGTGCACTATTTTGGAAAATTCCATGCCAGCTGGTGTACAGAAAATGCTAAACATAGTATTTGATGGCGTATGAATATCTGGAGCTCACTTGAAAAAAAAAATAAAAAATAAAAATGCACCACCTACATGTCCACTGTCATTGTGCAAGAACCTAGCAAAATCCTTGTGAAATATTTTGGAAGATTCCACATCCACGGATCTCCAAATGCAGATTATAAACCCTAAGCTCAGGCCCACATAACAATTAGAGACAACATTTGTGTGGTGGGTGAAGCGGTATGCAGAAAGAATGTAAAGGTCGAACAAGGAGAAGAAACATAAATTAGGTTCGATTTTAGATATTATATTATTACTTTTTGCATGTGACATGACAGATTGTACATGGATTTTCCTGCCAGACTCAACACCATCCTCTTGCACGGTATCGATCAATTTCATCCATCCAAGAACATGAGTACATGACAAAACAGAATACATGAACTTGAAGATTCAAAATTTTGGAGCATCCACAAGAAAAGAAGATAAAAATGGATGATGGGATAGGGAAGTGAGAGAAAAACCCAAAAAAGTCATATGCACACACCCTGGTGTCCAACCAAAAGAGACAAGGAAAAAAGAAATGAGGTAATAAAAGACTTTTCAAGTATTCAAGTGATCCAAGTGCAAATATGGCACTTAATCCTCTTTAGAATTAATAAGTTGGTACAGGAAGTTGTTTCCATATGCCATCCACAATCCATGGAAAGAAACAACAAAATAACAATCAACCATAGTGGAGAGACAAGTAAATCCACACTGGCTGCTAAACAATAATGACACATATTACCACATCATAAGAGCATATCAAACCAACGAAACAAGTATCAACAATTACCTTTGTTTCATAGGACGACGTGCATTATACACTGAAATCCATTGGGTAGCTGGACTACCTAGTCGCACTTTCTTCTTTGGTTGTTCATCCTCTTCCAAGTTAATCGGCAACCTTCCACGCTTCTGGCCAACCTGCTCATGCAATATATGACAAATTCAACATAAAAGGTTTTCACGCATAGGGACATACACCCATAAAATAAATACCAACAAGTATATTATTTATACAACCTTTAGAGCTCCATCAATTCTTATTGGTCTTACTGATGTGCATGGTTCGATAAGACTCTCAAATAATGCTACCAACTTAGAATAATTTGGTTCCTCGTCAAAGTTCATATTTGTAACAGCCTCAAGGAACCGTTTGAAAGGAGCAGGGCAAAAGCAGCACATCAACTCTGGAGAAGTAGCCATTTTCTTTTTAGAAACTAAAAAACTCTTGTTGTCACCCTGCCATCATTCAAAACCGAATGGAGAAACAGTTAAAAAATTTATGAGCTTAGACAAGTTGCGGACAATATGTTATAAAAGCAATGGTATCAAGTCACCTGAAACCCTTGCCATGGTAACCTTCCCTTAATGAGAAATATCAATGTGTATGCCAGTGACTCAAGATCATCCCTCCTACTCCCAGTGCGACCCAAATGTGCATGCACACTTGCATACCTTATTGTGCCCCTGTAGATGGAGTTATTAGTGCATGTCTAGTCTGCTTCAAACAGTAAACAAATTAGTTTTGCCAACCTAAATATATCAGGCCTCTGATCATATTCAACATGCTGCGCAGAAGATGCATCTTTCCACCTGGATGCTGCCTCATCAACACATTAGAACAGTAGCAAACTCCATTAACCAAAAGAGGTATAGAAAAAAAAACAAGGGAAGGAAAAAATATCAGCAGCAGAGACGCATAAAAATATGACAAAGAATTGAAATTTCACTACATTGTGTTTCAACATGCCTGGTTAGGGAAGCAGTGATGCAAATAAGAGAGTAAAAAATAGCAGTAGCATCATACCCAAACCAAGATCAATGAGATATAGCTTTTTCTCATCGGCAGTTCCAGGTTGACCAAGTAGAAAATTCTCTGGCTTCACATCTCCATGCACAAACCTAGGTAAGTAACAGAGAGAACCAATGGTGATAAATATTCAAAGAGAAAAAGCACAAAAAAAAAAACTAAGGATGCTAGAAGATTCAAAATATTAATGACATCTTTGTAGAAAGGCGAAGGAATATGGTAGAGAGAAAAATCGGAGATCAAAATGATTTACCCCTTCATGTGAAGCTTTTCAAGAATTGATATAGCCTCCACGGCAATACAAGCCACCATATTGGGAGTCATCCTGTTTCGGTGCTCACCATTAAACGATGAAAGTGAAATACAACGACAAGGATATTTTAGAGAATTTCACCCCAAAGATAGTTTGTGTGTGCATGTGAGAGAGAAAGCGAGAGAGAGGGAGATGCTATATCTTACGACTGGCCTAAAGAATTCCAAACATCCCAAAGACTGGGTCCAAGGATGTCCATGACCTGAAACAGAATTTTCATTAAACATAATGATAAAAATCTCCATGCAAAAGGCGATATCAAAACTCACCAGGATGTAAAAATCTCCTTGACGACCCTTGTAGTGAACCCATGGGATCCCATAACATCCGTTCAGGTTACTTTTCATGAAACATCAAATAAGATGAATATCAAGTTGTGGAAGTATTAAACACCAAAGAGAGTGAGAAGATTCTCAAATTAAATACATGGTCCTTACTTGTACACCTGCCACTCATATGGAGGGCCATAATTGCAACCCTTACTATTTCGGTGCTCAAACTTCAATGCAACCTATTGAAAAAAAATTTCCATATAAATTCAGAAAATGATATAAAATTGCAGATATCTAAATTCCATGATAGAATGCAATAAGATACCTCAACCGCATCTGCTCCTGCTCTTTCGGTGCCACCATTAACCCTTCGACCAACATAAACTTGACCAAAACCACCCTTGCCTAACTTCCTTTCTGTCTTGTACACGGGAGAACTACCCACTTGTACCTGCACCAATGACATGAGGAGACTTATTTAGGAACTCAAACCGGGGGTACTAAAGGTCAAGAAGATCATCAACAGGCAATAATTCGATTAACTGAAATGATAACGTTCAGTAATTTAAAGACTTTCAAAGCCCATCCATCCATGATGTCCTAAAGAGATTTCCAAAAAGCGAAACATTACAGAATCAGAAAAAAAGGAGGAACAAAATACCCTTTCAGGTACAGGAGTTGTACTTGCTTCTTCTTCGGCTCCCATTATTTTGTCCGCACTCCCACCTTTCATGGCAATTTCCTTATTTGCAATTCCCTCTATTCTATTAAAAACTCGTTCCCCAGCCCCAAGGGCAACAGCTTGAGGAAGAACCTCACGATGAGGCTCCGGATCTATATCTATAAACCTAGTGCCCCTGCCCCTTCCAACAGCCGTTGGCCTTGAGGGTGTCACTGCTGAAGGCCCTTTTCCTACAGCCACTGCATTGCCTCTCCCTCTTCCTCTCCTTCTGGTTCTATTCTGAGTGGGTGCCACGAAAGTTTCTTCGTTATCAGGGTGTTGAGGGGCAGGCTGAAGATCACTAATCCGTTTTGATCTCCGTGCTCCGCTTCGCAACTCTGGCATCGTCACCCATGCAAATCACACCCACTCAACACTTCACCATCTGTCCAGAGTAGTCAATAACCCAAACAAGAATAAGAAATCGAAGAATGATGGAACAAAGAACCATTCGTCCAAAACTGGTAAAAGAGTTCATGGACAATGCTGTTCAAGAATCAAGAATTGAGCTGTTCTACAAGCATAGGCTGGAAGTGAATCAAACTGTAATTATCAGGACAGAACTGAACTAAAGAATCTCAAAATTTTCATATGTAAGAAAGAAATACTTAGCTTTAACCTTGCAAATCCCAGAGAGCAAAAAAGGAAAAAAGCAGCATTCTTAAAAAGTAATAAATATATAAAAGATACTACTTTTAACAAAATTCGCCGATATTTACATACTTGCAGACAGATTCTTTCTTGTATGGATGAAAACCATAGATTTTAGCCCCCAAAAAAAAACATGGGAAGAAAAATCAAACTTAATGAAGCACATAAAAATCCAATATAAAAGGCCATATGGTAATAATCCACGAAAAAATAAAATAACATAATATCATAACGATCAGCTCATCACATGGGCTGTAATTAATCATCCGAAAAGCGCGCACTCTTCTCTTTTTTCGTACATTGAAGTTTAAATAAAACATAACATCCAAATTAAGCAGCCGCAGATCTTACCACAAAAACAGCAAAAGCTGGACGATCGTAGATAAAACCAAAGAAAATCAACTTAAAAATTAAATTCGATCAACTTATTAATTACAGAAGAATCGGCGGAGAAGAATATCAGATAAAACTTTGGGGGCAGAGTATTATTGTGGTAGGATGTGGTATATCGGTGAGTATTTCGATATTTGAACCGATTCTACGGTCTTCCTAATATCTTTTTCAACGTAATGTATTTCCTCTCTGTATTTATACGCGGCCGCGGGGTTTCCTCAGATTGTAGGTTTTTCCTTTTGTTTTTCTTTCTTTATTTTTTTTTTATTTTTATTTTTAGCTAACAGGAGCAAAAGGGGACTTCCTAGTAACAGTGATGGAACGGATGGGTTTTTCTACAAGCGGCAACGTAATAGATAAATTTCCTAAATACGGTTGAAACTAGTAATGGTATGTGCATCAATGTCGTGGTTCTCATTTCTAATCGAGAGCACCCAGTAGGACGATTAGTCCTGCGATAGTATTTTTCAGAGACGTTCGTTATTCTCTTATTTATTGTTGGCATACGTAGAGGGGTTATCATTACTACTACAACGTATAGAAATTGACACATAGATAAGGGGTTTAACTACTTTGAACTTTTCTACGATTTAGCCATACTTTCTTTGCAGTCGACATCTTACTTGTCGCACCACCTTACATGGTTATATTATATGTTATAAAAGAAATCTTGAGTCAAAAAATTTAATATATTATCTTAAACACCCAAGGAAGACGCCCAATTGTCAATAGTAAATTCTTTTGAAATGGATAAATTCAAGTGCAATGCGAATATATTGAGTAATTGGCCATAACAAAAAAAAAAAAAAAAAATCAGCGAGGGTCGGAGGGTGTCAAGGAGAGCGTCTAGCAGGCAAGTTGAATGTAAGGACCGGGTGCTCCTATTTGGCTTAGTGTCCTTTGGGGCCTAGAGCTCTTCAAACGTGGTGTCAAATGTTGAATGGGAATAGGAAAAATTATTTTACTTTTCAAGTTAGCCCATTCTCCTTTCGTCCGTGAGCTCTTCAAACGTGGTGTCAAATGTTGAATGGGAATAGGAAAAAAGTTGTTGACGTAGGGATTTTTATTATGTACATCTCTCTCTATCCCACCCAAATCAGGATTCCAAATGTCGATGATGTCCAATGTGGAATTTTGATAGACATGGATATCATACAGTAATGTCAAGCTATTGCTTAGCATTGTCTCAAAACGACAGCCAATATTAATCAAACTTCAATCCCCTTGAAAAATGGTAGAATGTACCATGGAGTTTAAAGATCTTGTCATTCAGGAAAGAAATAAGTAATTTTATAAAAAATAGATCTACAAGTACCTCACTAAAGATTTAAACCTTCGAAATCCAACGATAGTTTATGCAACGAACTGTTGAACATTATAGCACATTTCTAGACTCTCTCATGAAAACAATGATGTCAAACATAGCTTGGAGCAAGTCTTTATTTTATTGTATAGATGTTGTAAAAATCAATGTTCTAAAAATTGACTCAATTATCAAATAGAAAAGTAATTTTTTTTATGTTTTCAATCTCATTTATTTTTCCTTGAACAAGGATTTTGTGGACAAATTAAAGGGAAATGTCTCATTTCCAACTAAAGTGCAAAAAGGTAATTCTTATCTCATTCGTAGACGGGAGTACAAGAAATATCAAAACAAAAGCAAACTAGTAAATCTCTTGCAACCTCATCCGCGTTCTAAATATCACGAGTCGTGTGTTCTCACTGATAATTGGAGACCGTTCACCAAAGCCTGCTAGACAATCCCTACGCCATCAATCTCGCCATGTACGTACTCGAAAGTATCCTACATAGTCTTTAACTCATGAGTAGAAGTGTTATGTAATACCTCAAACAGCCTCGAAGTTTATGCTCAAATATTTAATTGTAAAGTTTCATTATGCTTAGAATAAGATTTTATAAGTGAAACTAATAAAAAGTAGGGTCACTAGTTGCATAATTTTGTGAGGTCGAAGGACCAAGTTGTAATTTAAGAAAAAGTTGCAATTTTTGAGTTTTCATATGCAAGGTATACCATGCTAAGGGATCATACGCTTACAAAATTGGAAGTTGAGGTTTAGAATCATCATTGCAATTTTTGTCCGACTTAGGGATCAATTTGCAATTTTTCTAACTTTTGAGCTGACTAAAGTGAAAATTTATAGTTTTACATCATAAAGAAGTGGATAATCATTTCGTGCCAATAATAATTATTTGGGCTTCGAAAATTTTATTTGAAGTTAAATAATTAATTGGGCCAAAAAGTTGCTCATTCATGATCAACTTCTTCATTTTTTTATTTTTTATTTTTTTAAAAGTTAGCGATTGAACCCGTGATACTCAGATCGAGCCCAACCTATCCAGGCTAAGCCCAAGTATTTAAGACCAGCCTAGTATATGATTATGTTTAGATTTAAACATGTGGAAATTACACAAATTCAGGGGTTTAAATATTGATTTTCAAAAATCAGGTTTAAATTTTAATTATTCAAAAATCAAATAATAATTTTTTATTTTAATTAATATAATAATATTATCAAACATAATATTAATAACCCTAATTTTATCAATTCCTTACATTCTTCCTCCTCCCTTTTCCCTCTCTCCATTGTCTCTCTCTACCTACTGTGCGGCGGCTCCTCCCCCTCTCTCTCGTCTCTCTCTACCTGATGTGAACGGCGACGCTGCTGTGAGTGGTGGCAGCGTCGTGCAGCCGTTCACATTAGCGTCGCGACGCTGCCGTGTGCGAAGCTGCGTGTGTGTGTGTATGTTGTGGGTGTGTGCGCAGTGGTGAAGTGGAGCTGTGGTGATGGTGTTGCGTCGGGGTACGGTGGTGGTGTTGATGCAGGTTGTAGTAGTGTTTGACCAGCTGAGGTGCAGATGTGGTGTGTGGTGAGTTCAGATCTGAGTGGTGGTGTTGATAGTACGTGGTTGGATGCGGCGACGGTTGTTGCGACGTGGTGTTGGTACTGGTTGTCGTGACCAATTAATTTGGAAATCTGTGACTGTGACCTATAAATTTTGAAATCTATGACCGGCGAAATAATTGTGACCTACAAATTTTTTTATATCTGACCATTACAAAAATCTGTGACTAACTGATTTGGAAATCTATGACCTGCAAATAAACTGTGATTGAAAATTAATTTTTAAATAATTAATTAGATATTTGTGACCAAATTGCATATAATTGTGACATTAACAATTGCCAAAATTGGAGCAGTTGCCGGAATTAAGCGCGGTCGGGAAACAATCGCCAGAATAGTTGTCGGTCGTCGGAATAGTCACCGGAGCAGTAGGGGGTGGGGATGGGGATGGAGGTGGGGTGAGTTAATTATATTATATTGCAATTAAATATTTAATTAATTAATAAATACCTGATTTTTTCAAGTTTGAAACTTAACACTTGATTTTTGCAATTGTCAAAAGTTAATACTGGATTTATGAACTCTTCCCTTTAAACAATATTATATGAATATACAAATAATAAATTTATAATATATTAAATATCACATCAATTAAGAATTATTTTTTGGACGATTTTAACCCTACTAAAATTCAATTGTTTGAATAATATCTTACTTTTCGTTTTTCAATATGTCATAAATATTACAAAATCCTTGTCATATATTAATTTGTGTTATTAATTCTCAATTAATTGATATTTACATTAATCGAGATTCAATGAATCTTGATCTACATGAATTTAGAGTTATTATAGATGAATTTATTCTATTAATATATTTAGAAATTTTAATGAGTGCTTAAATTCATGTATTATCAATTAATTCTTATGTATCAAATATAATATAAAAATGTTTGTTCATTCATAGTGTTTCATTATCACAAAAAATCTGAATTTTAAAAGTTGAATTTAGAAAGTACAATTTCTTCTCTTAAATTTATATCCTATATTTTATTTTCTTTAATTCGTTCGAGACTCATCAAATCCTCCCAACAAATTAATATCAAATATCACTTTTACGGCACTTACCATATATAATACAAAATTTGTCCACCGATTCCTTCGAGTCTAGCCTTTTGGTCTGTCATTATACCTCGAGAAGTGGAAAGAATTAAAATATTTTAAAATAACGTGCAATGCACGTTTAACTCTCAGTAGTAAATAAAAATATCATTAATTCAAGAGTTTTAACAAATTTCTTAAATATTTATATGAATTTATAATATTTTAACATAATTCTAATGGATTTGTTGAATTTCGTTGTATTTCTTAAGATAGAGAGCTAAGATAGAGAGCATTAGAAGTAAAGTTTGATTTAAATTACTCTACTTTTATCGACAATCCTCGTCATATAACATAAACAAGATTGTGAATTTGTAGGTCATTCTCGACGGATTAGACTACAAAATTCTCAAATTAAGTAATAACACGATTAAATAGAGTACACACTAGCATTAATAGTTTTGAACATTAGAAAGAAAAAGAAAAAGATTCCAAAAGTGATATATTCATGACCTACTTTGAGATAGAAAAGCAATTCTTCTTCTATTCCACCATCTTTAGGTAGTTGGGTTGTCTTTAGATTGATTTTTAAAATATGCCTCCACTTTGTTATCCAATTCTTCGACCTGAAATTTCAAAAAAAAAAAAAAAAAAAAAACTTGTTAAGACTTGAGACAATATTCTTAGAACAAGAGGATTTGTTCACAGGGGCCCGGCCCCACATGTATTTAAAAAAAATTGTGTGGATCCCCACAACATGTGTGTTGTCTGTACAATATCTGTTAAAAAGTTCTGTACACCAAGGGGTTCATAGTCTTAAATTCACTCTTTATAAGTTGACTTGCTAAAACTTTAAAATGTCGACATATTAGCTCTTGCTAGCAAATAACAACACGTCGATATTGTAGCATCACCTTTCACGTGATGACTTTTCATTTGCTAAACAGAAACTAACGCAAGAATTCGTTTGGCGGGGGGCGGGCCCCACATGTATTTAAAAAAAATTGTGTGGACCCCACAACATGTGTGTTGTCTGTACAATATCTGTTAAAAAGTTCTGTACACCAAGGGGTTCATAGTCTTAAATTCACTCTTTATAAGTTGACTTGCTAAAACTTTAAAATGTCGACATATTAGCTCTTGCTAGCAAATAACAACACGTCGATATTGTAGCATCATCTTTCACGTGATGACTTTTCATTTGCTAAACAGAAACAAACGTAAGAATTCGTTTGGCAGGGCTTTTAAAATTAAAAATTGCTTTTGAGATTATATAGTTATTTTTAAAATTGTTTCAACGATTTGTTGAAAGTACTTCATTCGATTAAAAGAGCTTTTAAAAAAAAATACTTCATTCGATTATAGAACTCTTGTATCAAAAGTAGAAGATTAAGCTGAAACCAACTTACCTTGTCCATCAGATCTTCAACTTTTTGAGCATCCTTCGCTGTTTCTTCAGCCAGATCTTCAACTAAAATTATATTTTAATTAATATAATAATATTATTGAACATAATATTAATAACCCTAATTTTATCAATTCCTTACCTTCTTCATCCTCCATTTTCCCTCATTCCCCTCTCTCCCTCGTCTCTCTCTGCCAACTATGCGGTGGCTCCTCCCCCTCCCCCTCCCCCTCTCTACCTAATGTGAACGACGACGCATCTGTGAGTGGTGGCAGCGTCGCGACGCTGTTACTGGTCACAGCGTTGTGCAGCGGCTCCTCCTTTCCCCTCCCTCCTCTCTCTGCGACTCTGCCGTTCGCAATAGCGTCTCAACGCTGCTGCAGTTCACAGCGTCGCGAATGGCAGCAACGTCGCGACGCTGCCGTGTGCGAAGCTGCCGGTGGGTGTGTGTGTGTATGTTGTGGGTGTGTGCGCAGTGGTGGGGTGGAGTTGTGGTGATGGTGTTGCGTCGGGGTGTGGTGGTGGTGTTGATGCAGGTTGTAGTGGTGTTTAGCCAGTTGTGGTGCAGATGTGGTGTGTGGTGGGTTCAGATCTGATTGGTGGTGTTGATAGTATGTGGTTGGATTCAGCGGTGATAGTGGTGGTAGTTGCGACAGTGGTGTTGGTACTGGTTGTCGTGACCAACTAATTTGGCAACTTGTGCTGTGACATAAATTTTGAAATTTGTGACCGACAAATTAATTGTGACCTACAAATTTTTTTATATATGATCATTAAAAAAATCTATGACCAACTGATTTGGAAATCTGTGACCTGCAAATAAACTGTGATCGAAAATTAGTTTTTAACTAATTAATTAAATATTTGTGACCAAATTGCATATAATTGTGACATTAACAATTGTCGAAATTCGTGCAGTCGTCGAAAATAATCTCGGTTGAGAAACAGTAGCTGGAGTAGTTGTCGATCGTCGGAATAGTCGCCGGAGCAGTAGGAGATGGGGGGTAAGGGTGGGGGTGGAGGTGGAGGTGGAGGTGGGGTGAGTTAATTATATTATATTACAATTAAATATTTAATTAATCAATAAATACCTGATTTTTTCAAGGTTGAAACTTAACACCTGATTTTTACATTTGTCAAAAGTTAATACCTGATTTTTGAACTCTTCCCTTTAAACATTAGGATATTATATGAATATACAAATAATAAATTTATAATATATTAAATATCACATCAATTAAGAATTATTTTTTGGACGATTTTAACCCTATTACAATTAAATCATTTCAATAATATCTTACTTTTCGTTTTTTAATATGTAATAAATATTACAAAATCCTCGTCATATATTAATTTCGTGTTATTAATTCTTAATTAATTGATATTCACATTAATCTAGATTCAATAAATCTTGATCTACATCAATTTAAAGTTATTATAGATGAATTTATTTCTATTAATATATTTAGAAATTTTAATGAGTGCTTAAATTCATGTATTATCAATTAATTCTTATATATCAAATATAGTACAAAAATGTTTGTTCATTCGTAGTGTTTCATTATCACAAAAAATTTGAATTTTAAAAGTTGAATTTAGAGAGTACAATTTCTTCTCTTAAATTTATATCCTATATTTTATTTTCTTTAATTCGTTTGAAACTCATCAAATCTTTCCAACAAATTGATATCAAATATCACTTTTACGGCACTTACCATGTATAATACAAAATTTGTTCGCCGATTCCTTCAAGTCTAACCTCTCGGTGTGTCATTATACCTTGAGAAGTAGAAAGAATTAAAATATTTTAAAATA